AATCAATATGCATCTTTGACAATAAATGGAGCATTTATGGTGGATCATTCTAAATTTGGTTGTATCCCTAAATCATGCTCCTAAAGTGACGAATTGGCTTTCGATGACTACATAGTACGAGTCCTACTGTGTGGACAGATACGGGTCAAACATTTTGCTCATTGTGATAGACTGAAGTTACATGACAGTGTATCTGTGCATGCATATATTCATGTGTTGATGTAAGTGAATGTGTATTAAAAGTTAAAGGCTGTGCTTTTATATGTATCTTCAGCTCTTTCTTTTCTCCCTTTTATGCCGTGAAATCCTTGGCCTTGAATTAAGTAGTGTTGATACTGGACTCACATGTTACTCTCTATAATTGTTGGAATCCAGTCTCAGGATTTTCTTGCTTTGTTATCCATGGACCTTCTCTGAAACTTTGCTACTTCTATTGATGCTACAGAATTGCCATCGTGCCATGAGAAAGCAGGATCTTATTGCATCTCTTATTTCTTTGTACAAAGAGGAGTTATGGTATTAATTGTTTTCTATTGCAATCCTTTTAATATGTTGATTATGTGACTTCATGAGAAAATTCTAAATTCTCTATTTCCTGTTAATTTGTGATGTACAGCCCATTACTACCTTGTATGGTTTTGGATCGAACAGGTGCCTGTGTTAGGATATCTTTAAAAGCAGATTCCCTCATTTGGCGTGCTGAGGTGCTTTCATGTCTTCTAATGATTAATTAAGATTACCACAGTAATCCGGAAAGGCCAGGTTAGAAATAATAGTTTTATTGTGATTCTTTTTAATTATATGCAGAGGCTTTTCTTCCTGAATGGAGAGCAGGATTTATCAGCATTTCTACTGGTGGATTTGGGAATAGTCAAGTATCCAAATTACAAGTGCATAATTTCACAACAAAGTTTCTCAGGTCGAGATGGCTTGCTTGCTTATGAAGAGGTGTTGCTTTGTATGTATGCAAAAACATTGAAGACCTTCATCACCATTACCATATCTCATGGTCTTTTCTTGCAGGCCATTGAAGTCGCACAGATAATAGATGAAGCTCTGGATGGAAGCAACATTGAATTGGTGATAAAATGCATTGATATTGCTGATTCCCGTATATCCAGTGAATCAACTCAATCTTTAACCTCTGAATCAATGGCTCCATTTCTTTCCTGCTTTTCTGCAAAATATGTCTACTCAAAAGTGGTTTTACTTGGAATTTCCTTTCTTGAGCGTGAGCATAGGTATGATCTTGGAATTACCTGTCTATATTTACGTGAATGCTTCTGCTGCACAAATTACATGTTCTCTGTCTGGGATTTTTAAGTTAACTTATGTTGACCTCATAAGCATGTTTGAGCAGCCATAACTCACTTTGAATTGTTTCATGTTTCTTCTTTTAATGTGGCCAATTAACATTTGTGTTATAAACTTTTCCTGGAATAGTGGATACGTGTTGTTGAAGAATGTAAAACTACCACATTGGAAACTTGACAAAATAAATACAATATGTAACTGAGTGGTTCTACTACTAATAACACCTAGGCCTTGATGGTGGTTAAGTTGGGGACAATATCTGGGTAGTTGTGGGCAGTTGGTTTGTCTCTCTGAAATCTTAACAATTAGTTTGAAACACAGCAAAATGTAATGTTAATCGTGGCCAGAAATGGTTTGCTTCTGCCCTCAATTTGTCGGTGCTTTAAAGGTCATAAAACATACAGTTGACATATCGTATCCCAGTTCTTCCTAAATGCTACCCTAATAAATGCCAATAACCTTATTTGATCTATTCGTTTAGTCTAAAAGAGCCCTAAATCTTAAACCCCAAACCCTAAACCCTAGAGTCCATAAATAATTTAAACCCTACCCTAGTAGACCCCAAGATCCCCTAATAAGTTCTGAAATTAAAATAAAAAATAGAGAAAGGAGAGTCGATTGATGGACACTGAATTTTGGAGTCCACATTTTTTGCATAAACCACCAACGGTTGCTAACATCTATGAAATTGAATCAAATATATGATATTATTTACTATACTGGTTTGGTCAGCTCTTCGCACATAAAGTTCTAAGGAGAACTGATGTTGATTACACCTACCTTTGTCTAGTTGTAATGTTTCCCAGGCTGAGATAACTTTTGTCTTCCACTCAGGTACAGTGATGCAATATATCTACTGAAGCGGCTGCTAAAGTGCTTCACTTGTGATGGTAGAAGAGGATATTGGACACTGAGGTTGTCAATTGACTTGGAGCACATGGGATATCTTAATGAGAGCCTTTCTGTTGCTGAAAATGGGTTACTGGATCGATGGGTGCGCGCTGGTTCAAGAGTGGCACTTCAAAGGAGAGTCCTTCGGTTAGGAAAACCACCAAGGCGATGGAAAACTCCTAGTTTTGCAGAGTCCGTCAGGAGGAAGATCATGGAGGTAATCACTTAATTGTAATATGCTTGTTAAACTCTCAAGTCAAAGTTGAGTTATTTAATTTGTTTTTACATCTTACAGTACCATTGTTCCTATTGACTCAGTTCTTTTGACCAACAAGTTAGGTTCATGTTCAAGGGAGACCTCTAAATTCTGTGATAGGTATGAAGAGCAGGTTTTATGGAGAAGATGGGGAGCAATGTGGGGTAGAGCAGCTAGCCCTGCAGCATTATGCTGCAGAAGGATGGCAGGGTGTTCATACAGAGAGTGGCATTTGGTTAACTATTTTTGGTCTTCTTATGTGGGATATTATATTTTCTGATATACCAAACGTCTTCCGCACCAGATTTCAGGTATGTGCTACCAAGCTTCAAACTTTTTTGAAATTTTCTACTTTTTATACATTCCTGCATACATGTATATATATGCATTTGCATGCTTGGCTTAGGTGTGGTGGTGTTCATGCCTGGTCCTTCAGAGGTTGCTCAGTTGCATTGCTTGGCCTATAGATGTCATTTATTACTCTTGTTGGAGTGGTAAGTGACAACTGAAGCTGGCAACCTAGAGGCATGAAGCATAATATGGTGTCTGGTTTCTGCTACTGTGTATACTTTAAGTCTGAATTTCAAGAAGGGGGACCGATCAATAAGAGAGAGCATAAGGTGGTGTTTGGTTTCTACTGTTGTACTTTAATCTGAATTTAAAGGGGGTGGACTCGTAGCACTTAAGAATTTGAATAGGTTCAAAATTTATAGGAGGTGATAGATGCAGGAGTGCAGAAGAAGGGAGAGTGATCTTGTTTGCCAGCTGACACCCAAGATTTGATCAGATACAAGTTTTAACTTCAATAGTTTAATCTTTCAATTATAAGGCTATCGCAAAGTTGATGTAGAACAGGAAGAGAAATAAAAGAATGTTGAGAGAGAGAAACACAAATATAAGTGCTTGAATAAGAGGGAACAAAAGAGGTGAAATATGACAAAGTAATATTGGCTTCATGCTCATCAGTATGTCTGATATCTATAACTCTGTTACTATAAGGCCTCATTATAGACAATTAAATTAATAAAATACCGGATACTATCAAACTTGCTTGGATTAAACACTTTTTTCGTCAACACTTTTCATGTCTAAAGTTCTGTACATGGTCTTTTCTTCAATATATTTGACTTATTTTGGAAAAAAAAATGAAGAAATAAAATTCCTATTTTGCAGACTGCTCCCTTGGATTTGGAGACTGATAGCTTTTATCTAGTGAGAAAGAGCCATATAGAATCTCACCTACAGAGTATTCATGATGGCATGGCTGAGGAGATCCTCATCACTTCATGGGAATTACATGAGGGAACCGCATGTAGAGGAGTTAACTGGGACCGGCATTCCCTCTCTGAGCTTCGGGCAGCTGTTACATGCATCGGTGGCCCTTGTTTGGCCTCATTCTGTCGACATCTAGCACAAGATTATCGAAGCTGGTCAAGCGGAATGCCAGATTTATTGTTGTGGCGTTTCCATGGGAATTACAGAGGTGAAGCCAAGCTTGTCGAAGTTAAAGGCCCCAGGGATAGACTCTCCGAACAGCAGCGGGCATGGCTGCTGCTTTTAATGGACTGTGGGTTCAATGCTGAGGTCTGTAAAGTGAGCCCGCTTTTGTGAATTTAATGTGCTGCTTCGGTCCTCCATTGGAAGCATGTAATGAGGACTTTGAAGATGCATGAAAGACCTACAGACAATAATTTACAAGGATTGGAAATTAAAGCAATTTGATGGGATTTTGCGGAAGTTAACCGTTTGATCACTAGTATTTATGGAGCAAGCAATCCCAGGACATGAAGATACTTCTTTGCCCAATGGGGATTTCACCTTTGGAGACGTACCATGGAAAGAAGTTGATTATGAATATTGAGGAGGTTTCTCTGGTTGGATTCAACCTTTTCTGGAGATTTGTTAATGATGACATTGCTTGAGCCGTTATGAGCTCCGGCACTTCTGTGCCATTTATTTGTAACGCTTAGTTGGCATTGGCAAAGGCCATATTCTCTGATATTTTAGGCGTTTCCTTGAACTTGGAGGAACAGGTTTACTAGTACGGTATCAAATGTTGATCATATGCGTGAATATAACTGAAATATTTGTATTCCTGACGTCCTCATGTTTACACATGGAACAAAATATTTATTTTAAATATAACAGTTCTTCAAGAACCTTGAGAATGAAACGGAAGTATTGTTTTTCTCTTTCTTTCGCTGGGATTGTGGTCTCCTTTCACCAATTTGAGGGGCATAACCGTTAATTCATGTACAAATCACACACCCTACCCATTTTCAAGGACATATATTGATAAAATTTGACGAATTGACCAAATTGCCATGAATGGGACAATTGGAGGACTAAAATTGAACTGAAGAAACAAAATAAAACTCGAATACAAGTTCAAGAAACATTGCACTTTCGTATTGGGAAAGAAAGAAATAAAATAAAATAAAATCCATTCCAATTAAAAATTGGAGGACTAAAATAAAACTCGATTAAAAAACCTTTTCTAGCTAGAGTGGTAATGATCGGATAGTGTAAAACTTGCATGAGTAATTTTCACATGACCTCTTGTAAGAAATACCCTTTCGATTTAAAGCTGTCACCTTCGCCTCGCTTATCCACTTTCGCACATAAACATTGTTAATATGAGTGAGTAGCTTAACACCCTGCAAATGTGCTTCGTCTAAACTCCTCACAATTTTACACATACGCACGCAGATATAGATAGAGAAAACAGAAAAGGGGCAGGAGGAGGAGCGCTTTCTCTTCCTTTCTTTGCTTTCCAGACTCTGCAAATCATAACAAGTTTTCAGTCATTTCCTTTTCACCACAAACCCTCTGTTTTCAGGTAGGTGCTTGTTTTTATGCTGTCTCCAACTTTTGTTTTTCCCTTAGGGTTTCTGGGTATGTCTTATTGATCAATTGTAATTCTGTTTCTGTTGTTTTTATTGCTTTGAATAGTTTGATTTGAATTCTTTTTAGAGTTCTTGCGAGTTGCAATCACTGCTCTCTCTCTCTCTCTCTCTGTGTGTAAATATGTATCTTGCTCAAATACAAATATGCCATTGTCGCATTTGCTGATATGATATTATAATTGCTTGGTTATTATTTCGCAGGGTTTGTGTTGATGAACCGCTGGGATTTTTAGCTTAATACCCAACAGAAATTTCAAATTTTCTTTAGAGAAAGCTTAGTATTGGTTTCATTTCCGATTGAAAATGTTGTGGATTTGGATAGTGAAGTAGGATTCCTTATGGAGAAGAGTTCTGTCTTCTGGTGCTTAAGTTAAGTTCAGTTAATATATTGGTTTTTTTTTTTTCTAGTTGTAGGTGTACAATGTCTTCCTTCTGAATATGGGATATGCTGGTTTTCTCTTTCCATTTATAGATATCAGTTTTCCTAAGCGCACTATTATTTCCACTTTGGTTGAAATTGTGTTTGCTTGCCTGCAATTAGGGTTGATGCATGTATTCTAAACCATTTTCAATGATCTTATTATATGACATGAATTTATTTATTTTGTGTTTATAGGTACAACTATATGTTCCAGTGAAGATGATAAAAAGAGTTGCAACAAGGTCTAGCTTTGAGGGTTGTGCTTCTTTGTGACCATTTTGCTCATAAGAAACAACTAAAGGGAAATTCTTTATGTCACTCTCATCTCATGTGGATAATATTGAGATGGATGGTATTGTTATACGCTTCATAATCCTTGTGTAGGGTTTAGATCTTGTAATTGTGAAAGATGGAGTTGTCTTTGCCTTCCTCATTGCAAAGGAATTGGCCCATCACCTCTCTCAATTCCAGCTTCCTCCCTCACTATCCTCCTTGCTTATTAGGTACAGTCAAGAAGAATTATAAAATCAACAGGATCTCACAAAATATCTCTTTTTCAATATCGTGCTCATCTGTCAAAACTGTCCGTAGTCCTTCACTGGACAGGCATGTTGTGAAGCAGAACAAGATACGTTTTGTCCAAAAGCTACAAACACTTCTCCTCTCTAAACCAAAATGCTTTATTCCAATTCATATTCTTTATAAATGTCGATCCTATCTTTCCCTATCAAAGCCACGGTCCATCATCTCAATGATCCATCGTTATCCTACCATTTTCGAACTCTTCTCAATCCCAACACCTCCGTTGCCAGTCAACGCAACCAAGTCATTATCACAACTCTGTGTCCGTCTAACCCCAGCTGCAGCAGCCCTTGCAGCTCAGGAATTAAGTCTCAAATCTGCCATCTCCGACTCTTTGGCCACCAAACTCCAGAAACTTCTTATGCTCTCTTCTCATCACCGGCTACTTCTGTCAAAGTTGGTTCATGTAGCTCCAGATCTTGGTCTTCCCCCTAATTTCCGCTCTCGTTTATGCAATGACCATCCAAATAAATTCAAGACTGTTGACACCTCCTATGGCCGTGCGCTTGAGCTTGTCTCCTGGGACCAAGCCTTGGCAAAGCCTTTACAGTCTCCTAAAATTAAATCGCGTGAGCTAATAGTAGACAGGCCTTTGAAGTTTAAGCAGTTGACACTTCGAAAGGGGCTAAATTTGAAGAGGCGTCACCAAGATTTTTTGCTCAAGTTTAAAGAAATTCCAGATGTGTGTCCATACAATACCCCTGTCTCAGACTTGCCTAAAGAGTCAATTGAGGCGGAGAAGAGAGCTTGTTTGGTGGTGAGAGAAGTGCTAGGAATGACAGTTGAAAAGAGAACTTTGATAGACCATTTGACTCATTTTAGGAAAGAGTTTGTGCTGCCAAACAAATTGAGAGGGATGATCATGCGGCACCCAGAGTTATTCTACGTGAGCTTGAAAGGGCAGAGAGATTCTGTGTTCTTGGTGGAGGGTTTTGATGATAAGGGTGCGCTGTTGGAGAAGAAAGAGACTTTGGTGATAAAGGAAAAGTTGATGGAGTTGGTCAGGGAAAGCAAGAGACTAAGAAGAGAGAGGAGGAAAGCTCGCGATAACAACACTGAGATTGGTGATGCTAGTGATGAGTTTGAGTATGATGACAATGATGACGATTATGATGACGGTTTTCAGAGTTTGTTTGAGTCTGAAGATTTGTATTTGGATGATGATGATGATGAGAAGGTTGAGACAGTGGACTACAGGGAGAATGGGCAGTTTTGGACTGTTGATGCTCATTCTGTTCTTGGTGGCGGGAAGCAACCTATGGAACCTTGGTAGCAGAGAATGTCACAAATGTACATATTTTACCTGAAAATAATCAAAGTGGTGAGGGTGTTATTTTTGCAGTTATATGAATGAATGTAAAGATGAAGTATTACAATATATCGACATATATATAAAGCACAATGACCCTTAACTTCAAGGTTAAATTTTCAAAAATACGTTGGTTATCTTCAGTTGAAAAAAATACTAAAGACATAACAACTTCATTTTCAAATAGCATAATGATAAAAATCAATTTGTTAAATAGAAAATTTTCAAAAGGCAAATCTTAGGAGAAACCATTATTTCCTAGTTGGGCTAAACATTGCAGGATTCCTGTGAGCCCTGTCTTTTTGGATCAAAGGAAGGCTCTGTTTTGATTCTTTTGTGAAGTTCCGGAACCCCTTTAGACTATAATTGCTTCGCCGATGGTATAACCCTAATTCTTTCCAGTGCATTTAATTATCGTCATTGATGAAATGGAGCATTTTTGGTGGATCACTCTAGATTTGGTTGTATCCCTAGTTTATGCTCCTAAACTGAGGAATTGGCTTCCGATGACCACATAGTACAAGACCTGCTGTGTGGACAGATACGGGTCAAACATTTTTCCGATGGTGGCAGATCGTGGAGGTAATCGCATAATTGCAATATGCTTCTTAAATTCTCAAGTCGAAAGTTGAATTATTTGATTTCTTTTACATACAGTATCGCTTGTCCTGTTGACTCGGTTTTTCGTACTGACAAGTTAAGTTCATGTTCAAGGGGGACCTTTAAATTCTGTGATTGGTATGTAGAGTAGGTTTAATGGAGAAGATGGGGAGCAATGAGGGGTGGAGCAACTAGCCCTGCAGGCTGCAGCAGTATGCTGGGGAAGGAGTATGGCAGGGTGTTCATGTAGAGAGTGGCATTTTATTCCCTATTTTTGGCCTTCTTAAGTGGGATGTTATATTTTCTGATATACCAAATGTCTTCTGCACCAGATTTCAGGTATGCTTGAGTTAGTGTGCTACCAATCTCCCAGATTTTTGGAATGTTCTACGTTATTTACATTCATCCATACATGGTGTTTTTATGTACATATGTATTTGCACACTTGGTTTAGGTTTAGTGGCTTTAGAGTTTGCTCAGTAGCAATGCTTTCTCGATCGATGTGATTTATTATTCATGTTGAAGTGACAGCATGAAGCAAAATAAGGTGTTTGGTCAAGTTCATGAGACAAGGCTGATATGAAGTTGATGTCGAACAGGAAGAGAAATAAAGAAGACTGAGAAAGGTGAGAAAAGGGCTAAGATTTGAAGAAGAAAATAGGAGAACAAAGAAGGCAAAGTAAGAAAAGTTAGAAGTCTTTGTTCTCACTCAATACGCCACATCTATTTTTATATTAACATATCTATTTACATAATATCTAATTTTGACCTGCACAGGGTCTTCTCATCAATACATACGGCTCTGCTCATCAATCGATTTGGTAAAAAATGAAATCCTATGTTGCAGATCGCACCCTTGGATTTTTTTGATGAGCAGAGCCATATAGAACTCACCTACAGAATTTTTTTGATGGCATGGCTGAGGAGATCCTCATCACTTCATGGGAATTTCATGAGGGAACAGCATGTAGTGTAGTTTATTGTGGCCGGCGTTCACTCCTACAATTAGAAGATAAATCTTTACTTAATGCAGCTTTCACCTTTGGAGATGGTTGTGTGCTATCTAAAGAAGTTGATTAAGAATACTGTAGTTCATAGTTGATTTTTCCTAGGTTGGATCCAAGCTTTTCTGGAGATTTGGAAATGATGTCTGTTTCTTGAGCCGTTGGATAACAATTAAAGTTGTATTGTATGTGTGTGTCTCCATGTCTTCTAACCTTTAGTTAATAAAGGCCATATCCTCTGATATTCTAGGGGATAATTTTCCTGAAACTTGTATGAAGTGGTGTATAATGTTGGCATGTTTGGGAGTGCTTTTGGAAAGATTAAAAGTGCTTTTTGACAACTAAAATTGCTTATGACAGCGTTTGGCAGAAAAGTTTAGAAGTGCTTTTGGATCATAGAAGCACTTTATAGAGAAGCACTTCCAAGTGTTTTTCCGAGAAGTACTTGAATTTTTTTATAAAAATGCAAGATTTTTATAATAAAAGCGTTTTTGTTTGAAGCTCTTATGACCAAAAGTACTTCTTAAAGAAGCAGTCCCAAACGAGTCTTGGTTGGTATAATGCAAAAAAGTTTTGTTTGTTCACTTGGCTTTATTATGCAACTTTTGAACTAGGCCATGGGATGGGAAGCTTCGCCAGTAAGGATTTTTAAGTTAAAGATTAGTTAACGACTTCTAATCCCAGCTAATGTGTTAGTGTCCCTAACATAAGATCCTTATAATGGAGCATTTTCCTTTTTCGGCCTGATATCCGAGGGCTTAATAGACATTTCGGTTATTGAATAGCAGAAATATGCTACCAGCTCCTCCACTTCCAAGATTTATCCGATTGAATTTCAAACATTTCGGTTGCATTGATAGGAAAGTGACAAAACTGCCTTGTCTCAACTTTGGACCAAAGCCCACCATTAACCATATCTTAATAAAGCTCACAGAAAATTTTCCGCATTCAGTTTCCTTATTTTAATTACGTAAATAAAGTACAAAAGCTTTGAGTAATTTATTCCAGCTAAGAGACCCCAGCAGAAGAAGGATGTCTTTATCTTGAAATAGAAATGCACACCTCAATTCTAAGGTTATCTAAGAAAGCAATTCGACGATCATAATCATCTATAGTTTAAGTCCTTGTCTAAAAATAATTCCTGCAAAAGGTCATTCAGATCTGAAACTGTTTGGTCATCTAAAATTGAAATGAAAATTCACTCCTTGAATTACAGCCCATAAATAAAATGACTTTAGTTTTCTTAAACAAACTTTGGCCATCACTTTACTCCTTACGAGCCGACCCGGTGTGAACGGGAATTAGTCTGGGTTGTGGTTAAGGCTTAAAGGTGTCACCCATAATTGAGGCTCATCCAGGACCACCTCGTGGTTCAAACCAAAAAATAAAAAAAGATTATATTTATATAAAAATATAATATGAAAGCCCAAGCATTACTTTTTATTTTATTTTATAAAGTTCCGTTTGCATACATATACCAGAAGTAGATATAGACGTATTAGAGAATAGTCCATTTTCTTGCATCTTTAGGCTTTGAACTTACCTAGTGCCAGTTTGGGATTTGCTGTCACTTTTTAAAAAAGTTGCTTATGCAGTGCTTTGAAAATAATTAGCTGTAAAGTAAAGCAACTCCATGTTTGGTAAATAATTCTTTGAAAGTGCTGTTAGAAAACAGTGTCAAAACCATTTGGTAAATTTTAATATAAAACTTTGTAATTGTGAATAATGACTCAAATAAATATGATGTTGAAAGTGTTATGCGACAATTATGTGGTGGTAGTGGAGGTGGTGAAAGAGATGGAGGTGAAAATGGTGGTAAAAGAGGTGAGGTGGTGGTTGTGGTAGTGGTGGTGGTGGGGATGGCGGTTGTGGAGGTGGAGGTGGTGGTGGTGGCGATGACGGCAGTGGTGGAAATGGTGAAGGTGGTAGTGGTGGTGATGAAGATGGATGTGGTGGTTGTGATTGTGGTAGTGGTGGTGGTGTGGATGACAGTTGTGGAGGTGGAGGAGGAGGAGGTGGTGGCAGTGGCGGAGGAGGATGTGGTGGTGGTGGTGGCAGCGATGGCGGTGATGGTGGAGGTGGAGGTGGAGGTGGAGGGGATGTCATTTTTAAAAATGAATGATGGTATTTTGGGAATTTAAAATTTTCATTAAAGGCTTATCTCTGCTTCTTTTGAGAGCAGCTTTAAAAAGCAATCTAAAGCTTGCTTTTAAAAGTTGCTGTCAAAATGCCACTGCTTTTAAAATAATCGAGATATTTTATTTTTACCAAGCACCTTAAACTGCTTAACTTTAAAATGAAACAGATTTTTTGTGGAAAAAAGCAATCTCACACGGGGCCTACTCACTCGATTTTTTCTGACATACTGCTCACTCGATTTTTTCCAACATATTGCTCAATTGAATTGTCAAGCCTTCCTCTCTCTCTCTCTCTCTCTCTCTCTCTCTCTCTCTCTCTCTCTCTTAATCTATTTGAAATTGTTTTCACTTTCAAGTTTTTGTTTTTGTTTTTTTTACTACTCCCTCCCATCCTCCTCTCTTATCCCCTCTCTTAATCTCATCCTCACTCTCATTTTACTTTATGTACTAAAATAAAAAATAAAAACTAAAAACTAAAAATTGTTATCAAACATGTCCTAAGTTGGCTCATTTTCTGTTTTTCCCTTTTTGCTATTTTGATATTGATATTTTCATGTTCAACTATTGAGTGGCCATGTGGATATTTTCATGGTTTTGTCCCCATCCATCTTTCTCTCTTATCTATCCTTGCTTTTGGTTGGGCTTTCAATTACAAAGGTTCATATGTTCTCTTTTATCTTGTGTTAGTTTAATTGAAATGTAGACGTATCAAGAAAAAGCAAGTAAAATGTAATCGTTAGATTGTTTGCCACAAATCAATGCATCCACGTGCATGATCAGGCTGCATGCAAACGGAGGTTGTTAGCTTGATATACATCATTTGAGAGTGGAACAAGAATTATACTCAACCAGGGAAAAGTTTGGTTAATTTTTATTTGACTAGGTTGGGTTAATTTCTAGGATCATCGTGCTATCTATAAGCATTTTCCCTAGCTAATACTTTCCTTTTTCCCCCAAACTTTGCACTGAGCTACAACCCACCATAGCCTTCTATCCTTCACTGTTGACCTATTCTTTGATAAGGGCTAGTAGTTGTCTAACAGCAACTTTGTGAGGATCACATATTGCAAATCACACTCTTGTATATGTGAAACTCGTGTTTCTGTTTTCCATCAACGGGAATTGGGCATCTTTCAATATTGAGGAGAGAAATATCACTGACTAAGAACTAATTGATTATGTGAAACTCATTTGAATAATATGTATTTGTGAACGCAAAAGACCCACTAGTGTAGTGATTTGGAATAATTGTTCCCCCATGAACATGATTTAATCACTCGAGCTACATACTTCTTATGCGAACATGATTTAAGGGACATATCCCAAACAAAAAGTACGAAAAGTAGGGGTGGGCATAAAAACCGATAAACCGAATGAACCGACCGAACCAAACCAAACCGAACCGAAAAATGAGGTTTTTTTGACCAAACCGAAAAAGTCAACACTAAACCTGACCCGAACCGAAGTCAACGGTTCGGCCTTCGGTTCAAAAAAATTTGGAACCGGAAAACCTGACCCGAACCGAGCATTAATCAATAATATATAAATATACCACGTGGCCTCTGTTTATTGGGTAAAAGAAGAGCTTTACCTTGAGGATGCTTGCACTAGATCACAACCACAACTAAACCTAGCTCCTTCACCTTTCTCTTTCATTTCACTCTCTCAAATTCAATCGCCGCCTCTCTCACCCTCTACCTCTATCGTCTCTCTCCCGACCTCACCCTCACCGTCATCGATCTCTCTCTCTCTCTCCTCTCATCTCCTGTCTCTTTCGACCTCATCCTCTCTCTCTCGACCTCATCCTATCTCATCTTCTGGTTTTTATTTTGTTCTTTTTGCAGGCAGAGAAGCTTAGTGGCAGTTGTTGGCGGCACTGGAGAAGGGAAGACATCGCTTGTATTAGCCATGCTTGGAGCGCTGCCTCCCAGAGCAGATTCTGGTGTTGTAATCAGGGGGACTGTTGCTTATGTTCCCCAAGTTTCATGGATTTTCAATGCTACTGTGAGTCGCAGCATCTCTTCTTTGAATGCCTACAATGTTCAATCTGTTATTTGTCTTTTTTTCTTCATTAGTTTTATGATTAAGTTCTTTCAAACGTTTTCAACTATTTCTGACAAATAAATATGAGTTGATATGGGTGAATAAAGCTGTATGGGTGTGTATTTCAACTTTCAAATAACCTATTTGATGGGTTTATGGGTTTTTGTTTATTTATTTAGTTTCCCTGCGTATATACACTTGTTATCAGTCTGTAGTTTTCAGGTATTTGATTTTACTTGGTTGATTTTGCTTCAAAATTTGACTGAAACCCGCGAAGCTTCAGGTATTTGAATATGTAGTTTTCTGGGTGATAGTAAATGAATGCATTACTACTAGAATGAAACATCAGAAATCCCCCATTTTCAAAGCTTTTCATCAGTTGATATAAGCCATAAGGCCACTCCTCATGACAACCTGGATCAATATAAAACATTTTCGTCCAAGACTTTTCTTCACCACAATCTTTCATTACCCACACATTCAGAGGATATATAAAAGCAACTTCACATACACACCTGTAATGTTCATTAATTAATTTACTCATTCTTTCATTTTGGATGAATCTAGTTTGCTTTGGAACAGAGCTTATAAGATGTTTTGAATGATAACTAATTGAGAAGTGTTTTTATCTGTGTATTTGAGTCGATTGAGGTGCTATAACTTGTTTTGATCAGTTTAAATGATTTCAGACAGAAACTGCAAACACTTTTTTTTTGGGTGA